CGGGTGAGGATAAAAAAAAAAAAAAAGATGTAGATATGATCCCTCCAGTGATTCAGAAAACAGCTATTTCCTTTCCCTCCACCCCCCATCATACCCACCTCAAAGGTTTTATTGTTTACCTGTGGGACACCTAGGCAAGTCCCATGACCCTTACAGTCATCTTAGGTATAATGACTTACAGTCCCTGTTTTTCTTTTTCTTTTTCTTTGGTCACTCAGCAAGGGGAAAAAATAGCGTTAATTCAGTCATTGAACTGCTTTTGGCTTTGGTGGGCTTGGTCAGAGTCTTCTTTATCTCCCCACCTGGAGATTCTAGACTCCCCCCTCCCCCCTTCAAGGCTTCAGTCTTCTCACCTGCAATTAGTTTTCCAGGCCTGTAAACGCATCTCCTTCAGGTGGTCCCCGAGGACCACTGTTCCATTGGACGTCCATCAGCCCAGTTCCAGCTTCTCTCCGCGGGGTTCACCTCTACCTCCAGGTGGCGCTCAGTGAAAGGACATAAGGCACCTCCTGATTCGTTCACATTCTCTCTTCCTCTCCATCCCACTCCCTCTCTCCTCTTTCCAAACTGTCCCTGAATGTCGTCATAGCTGTTATTCAATCTTGATCCTTTGAGATGTTTCCAACGGGGGCCAGACCCCACGCTTCTCTGGGCCCTGCACCTCACCCCATAATACGCGCTGAGTGGTCCAGCTGAGGCTTTGCCCCTCTTGAAGGTGGAGGTGAGAAACCATCACCCTCACCACTCCTACGTTGGTGAATCTGACTGAAGAATATGAGGGTCTTTGGGGCACAATTTTGACTCTTGCAACTTCTCTGTGAATTTGAAATTATGTTCCCAAAAGTTTAAAAATGTATATAAAAAGGACAGGAGGGTGGTAGAATTTCAAGAAGCTTCTATTTTAGTACAGATTGGCAGCTACAAGACAGTCACAGGATGTAAACTACAGCTCAGGGAATATAGTCAATAATATTGTAATTACTGTATAGTGCCAGGTGGGGACTAGAATGATCGGGGTGATCACTTTGTAAAGTATATGACTGTCTGACTGCTATGCTGTACACCTGAAATGAATATAAAATAATATTCAATGTCACCTATGATTCAACGTTTTTAAAATTATTTTAAAAGTTTCTATTTTGTCCCAGCCGGTGTGGCTCAGTGGTTGAGCGTTGACTCATGCACCAAGAAGTCGCCGGTTCGATTCCCGTTCAGGGCACATGCCCAAGCTGTGTGCCTGATCCCCAGTGGGGGGCATGCAGGAGGTGGCCAATCAATGTTCTCTCTCATCGATGTTTCTCTCTCTCGCTCGCTCTCTCCTTCTCCCTTCCTCTCTCTCTAAAGTCAATAAAGAAAAAAAAATTTTTTTAAGTTTCTCTTTTGGCCCTGCCCGGTTTTGCTCAGCGGTTAGAACATCAGCCGGCGGACCAATGAGTCCCAGGTTCGATACCAGTCAAGGGCACATACCTCGGTTGCAGTTTGTCCCCAGGGCCCTGGTCGAGTCGTGCAGGAGACAACCAGTCTATGTGTCTCTCTCACATCGATGTTTCTCTCTCTCTCTTTCTCTCTCTTCCTCCCACTCTATCTGAAGATATTTGAAAAAATATCCTCAGGTGAGGATTAAAAACATAAATAAATACAAAATAAAAGTTTCTATTTTGCTTCACTACAAAAAAAGAGGTGAAGAGATGCAAGTTATTGCTTTGATAAATTATCTCGTCCTATGATGCGATTCCAGTTGTTTGTCTTTGAGGGACCTCTATTCCCTTCTTCCACTTCTGAGAAGTCCAGGAAAGAAAGGGGGTGCAGAGGGAAGGCCCCTCTGGACAAAGAGCCATTTCCCCATGAGCAGAGGCCCCTCCCCCACGGCAGACATCCCTCCTCTGGCTTCCCTGAGCTGGCTGGGCACAAAATCAAGTAGAAAAACCAAAACAAAAAACAAAAAAAAAAGTTGATGATCTCTGTTCCTAGTACTTATCTCAGTTTATAATTACACATTCATTAGTATGATTATGTGATTCATATGTTTCCATCTCCAGACTGGCAGCTCATCGGGGGTCCCTTTTCACTCCCTACTGTATGGTGAGCCCAAAGTGCCACTGGTGGTCCATAGTAGCAGCAAGGCCGAGGCAGCTGTGACTGGGCCTGACTTCTGGGGCTTTGCAGGGATTATTCGGCACGTGCTCCTCACAAGGCCTCGGGGAGGGTAAGACAGGAAGAAACGGAGGAACAGGGAGGGCGGGCAAGTTGCTCAGGTATAAAAGGTGGAGCCGGTTCCGCACCAGCCCCCGGAGTTCCCGGCCCATAGTCTCAACCCCACGCTCCCTCTGCTTGGTCAGTGAAGCGAACGCGCATGCCCAGCTCTCTCCCCGCGGGATCCTCAGCACCACTCCGAGCTCAGTGCAGAAGCGATGGGCGTGGGTTAGGGACTGAATGACACAGGTAGTTTCGTGATCAAGAAAGGGTTACCCCACGTTTCCTGGATGACAAAGTGTTCTCCTGGGGAGGAAGCCGCGTTGAACCCTGAGATAGTGGGTAATTATATTATAAGTGTTATAATATTTATGTAACATATCCTGTGCTAATATCTATGTGAAAATAGCCATGTTATAATGGGATCATATCTATGTAATATAATGTTATAATATGTATGTAAAATAATGTGATTATATTGATGTAATATGTGATAAGATCCGCTATAATATGTAATATTTATGTAATATAATATGCAATATCTATGTAATATAGTTATAATATTTATGTAATATAATGTCATAAAATTTATGTAATATAATATGTGATCATAACTTATAATGTTATAATATTTATGTAATATATGTGTTATAATATTATATATAAATGTCATGTTACATGTGTTATATTATAAATATTATAACACATATAATACAATGTTATATTGCATAAATATGATGTTACATATATGCAATATTATGAATGTTTAAATATTTACATGATAGGATATTAATAGACTATCTCAGATAATAATTAGTATAGCATAATGATGTTATAAATATATAATTATAAAATTGTATTTATAATTAAATATATGAATATTTGAGGCTATATTATAATATAATATTTATCATATTAATATTATAATCCATTGAATATAATTATAGACTATATAATACTGGTATAATGATATGCTTTATTTTTTTAATTAATTTATTTTTTTAATCCTCACCCGAGGACATTTTTGCATTTTTTGTTCAGACAGAGCGGGAGGGAGAGAGAGGAAGGGAGAGAGAGAGAGAAACATCAATGTGAAAGGGACACATCGAGTGGCTGCCACCCGCACGACCAACCAGGGCCGGGGACAAACTGCAACCAAAGTACGTGCCCTTAGCGGGAACCGAACCCGGGTCTCTCCAGACCGCAGGCCGACGCTCTAACCGCTGAGCCAAACCGGCCAGGGCTAATGATATACTTTATATAATATTTTATATACTTATATTTATAATTTACAATTAAATATAGAAAGAGAATCAAACTCAGGATGTGAATACATTTATATTCATAAACCAGCATGTATTCTGTATTTTAAATAGTTTTCTATGTTGAAGAGACTTTGGCCTTTGAGAGGTAAGAGATCAGCTTCAGCGATTCCTATCTAGTGGCAGAACTGAAGCTGTGATTTCTGAGTTGAATCCCTTCATCGGTCTTCGTGAGGGAGGAGGAGGACCCTTCGGCCTGGGGACCCGAACACCTGAAGGAGGCCTTCATTCACCCACGACTGCTAGCGCTGTGTTCTTCCCGCTGCTGCAGCGATCTGTCCACAGCAGCCCGTGTTCCCAAAGGCGGCAGACGCTCTCTGCAGATCTTCTGAGTCCTCCCGAATTCCCTTTCATGTCCTTATCCCTACCAACGGTCTTGTCGAGGCCATCTGGGCTTTTTCTACCGTGCACCTCAAAACTCCTGCAGCCCTACCTGCTCCCCAGTCCCAAAGCCATGTCCAGATTCTTAGGTACATGTTAAGCAGCACCCCGTCTCCAGGTACTAACGCTGGTATTAGTCTGCTCGGGCCACGTAACAAAGCATGACCGACTGGGTGACTTAAACCACAGAAATGTACTGTCTCATGGTTCTGGAGGCTGGAAGTTCGAGTTCACAGTGCCGCAGGGTTGGTTTCTTCCGAGACCATGAGGGAGAATCTGTTCAGGCTTGCAGACGGTCCACCTACTCCCTCTCTCACCTCATCTTCCCTCTGGACATGTCTCCTTTTCTCGCAAGGACACCAGCCATACGGGATCAGGGCCCACCCATAAGATCTCATTTTAATTTGATGACCTCGGTAAAGACCCCCGTCTCCAAAAAAGGTCACATTCCACCCTGGCAGAGTAGCTCAGTTGGTTAGCGCGTCATCCCAATACGCCAAGGTTGCAGTTCGATCCCCAGTCAGGGCACATACAGGAAACAACCAATAAATGTATAGATAGTGGAACAACAGATCAATCTTTCTCTCTCTCTCTCAAGTCAATAAAAAAAATATTAAAACCAGCCCTGGCCAGTTTGGCTCAGCGGTCGGAGTGTTAGCCCATGCACCAAAGGGTCCCAGGTTCAGTCCCCAGTCAGGGTGCATGCTGGAGGCAACCAATCGATGTGTCTCTCTCATATCAATGTTTCTCTCTCTCTCTCCCTCCTCCCTCCCTTCCACTCTATAAAAATCAATGGAAAAAATGATCCTCTCATGAGGATTCTTAAAAAACTAAAAACAAACAAGTGAGGTCACATTCCAAGGTCTAGGCACTGAGAACGCCAACATACACTTTCGGAAAGAACACATTCAACCCATAACAATGTTTGTGTTCTAAATTTTAGAATTTTCCATCATTCTCCATAAGCCCATGCATATGTGGCTTCAGGGCTGATAAGTAACATATAGTGTGTTTCTGGGAGCAGAAGGATCACTGTTCTCTACCCCAGAAGGCACGATCACATCACAAACAGACTCCAATTCAAGGCTGTTACATTTCCAAACCTTTAATCCCAAATCAGACCACAGTGAGATCAGACCCAGACATTTCCCCCTCCTGTTTCTCTATGTCTCCAAATTTCAGATTAGTCCGAAGAAGGCTTTCCCACAAGTGAATACAGCCAGATCTCAGAAATGAATAGGTCCAATTCTCTCCCAACACACCCTGACCTCATCCCCCCATCCCTAGTTACCCCATCAGGTCCCACCAACCTTCCCTGGGGACCCTCGTTTGCAAAAAGCCTCTCCCACCCCACCCCCAAGTGACCCAAATTCAGCCACTGAGGAAAACATATTTACAAAGGGAAAGATGAGGGCATGAGAGACAGGTGTGCGAGCAATGTAGGCCCCAGAGCAAGGAGAACAGCTTCTCCAGGATGTGGGGCAAAAAATTTTGAGGGGGCAGGGGATAAAGAAGAAGGGTTTGGAAGGAGCTTAGAGAAAGCAACATGGTGGCTCTAGGTGGCCCTGGGCCCCTGCTTGGGACAGAGTGAGCCCCAGGGCCAGGGCGGCAGGGTGAGCAGGAGAAAGCAGATGCCCACCAGCAGCAGGACCAGGCTGGCGCCCACACAGCAGCCCAGAGACCAGGAGTATTCGTAGGTGAGGGCCGGGGCCGGGGGAGGCTCTGGGCTGACTCTTTGTATCAGGGCTCGCACGGAATGCCGGAACACCTCCAGGCTGACCAGGAGCAGCAGACCTGTGGGGAGAGGAGTGACATGATGCTCAGGCCCCCAGAAACTCCCGACTCGGATCTCAGTATCTCCTCCAATGCACCCTATCACATGCTTCTCTAACAAGAAACCTGGGGGAACCCCCCGCAGGCACTCTCTCATCCATCCATTTATTCATTTATCCAACAACTATTTACTAAACACCTATTACATAGCAGATGCACATTTGGAAGCTGGAGAGAAAGAAGGAACAATAATTGTTAGAGGCAGAAAGTAGAATGGTGGGTGCCCGGGGTGGGGGAGGGGAGTGGGCGTTGGTGTTTAATGGGGACAGAGTTTCAGCTGGGGAAGATTCAAAAATTACAGAGCTGGCCCTGGCTAGGTGGCTCAGTTGGTTGAGCATCGTGCCATGCACCCAGAGGTCACTGGTTCAATTCCCAGTCAGAGGACATGCCCAGGTTGTGGGCTCGATCCCCGGTGGGAGGGTGCAGGAAGCAGCTGATCAATGTTTCTCTCTCACACTGATGTTTCTATCTCTCCCTCTCTCTCTAAAAAAATAAATAAAAACATATTTTAAAAAAAATCAAAGCCAACCTTTAAAAAAAAAAAAAGAATGCAATTTGATTTAAGAAAAAGAAAAAAGAGCCCGGCCGGTGTGGCTCAGTGGTTGAGTGTCGACCCATGCACCAAGAGGTCACTGGTTCGATTCCCAGTCAGGGCACATGCCCAGGTTGTGGGCCCAATCCCCAATGCAGGGCATGCAGGAGGCGGCCAGTCGATGTTCTCTCTCATCGATATTTCTATCTCTCTCTCCCTCTCCCTTTCTCTCTCTCTAAAATCAATTAAAAATAAATTAAATAAAATAAAAGATTAAGGAACAAGACAGACAAAGACCCTGACATCATGGAGCTTATACTCTACTTGGAAGAGACAGATGGTAAACGATGCCTACAGGAGACAATGAGAAAATATAAATAATGAAGCAGGCAGGTGTGACGGGAACAGTGACAGAGTGACCGCAACCCAGCTTCTGCCGACTGCAGCCCTTCAGAAATGGGGACTTAATTTGCCAGACTTTCTGATTTTTCGAGAGAGAATTTTAATTTTTAAATTTATTGATGAGAGAGAGAGAGAGAGAGAGAGAGAGATTGATTTATTGTTCCACTTAGTTATGCATTCATTGGTTGATCCTTGTATGTGCCCTGACCAAGGATTGAACCCGCAATCTTGATGTATCGGGATGACGCTCTAACCAACTGACCTACCCGGCCAGGGCTAGAATTTGTACATGATTATGACTTTCATGGGAATTCACCCCACCTTTAAATACTGGCTTAGAAAAATCTTTGCGCTGCCTGCCAAGGAAAGCGCAGTACGGGCCATCGCTGGCCTGCCGGCTGCCAGGTCACAACCTCCAAAGTAAACACACGAGGAGACATAATTTCAGGGAGTGATGCACTCTGGGAAGGAGATAAAAACAGTCAGTGATGGGAAGGGGAGTGACATCCAGGGGTGGGGCAAGGACTTTAAATAGTGCCATCAGGAAAAGCCATTTCAGTTGAGACCAGAATGAAGGATGACAAGAAGCCAGCCACGCACAAAAGCAAGCGACAGCTATTCCAAGCAGAAGGAACGGCTGGCGTGAAGACCTGTGGTAGGATGGAGTATAGTGCGTTGAGGAAAAGAGAAAAGGTTCGTGTGACCAGAGCAAAGAGAGTGTGGAGGAGGAAAGTGGTGGGCAAAGTGCAGACAGAGGTGGGCAGGGGTCAGATCATGTAGGACCATCTAATGGTCATCATGGGCGTGAATCCTAACTGCCTCTCCTCTCAGATCCTGGAACCTGGCTCTAAACTCAGTTCCTGACCCTTCTTCCTCTTTGCCCTCCAGTTCCTCCAGGTTCTACCATGATTTTTTAAAAAACATGTTATTATTGATTTTTAGAGGGAGAGGGGAGAGAGGTAGAAACATTGATGAGAGAGAAACATTGATCAGCTGCCTCCTTCATGTCCCCTACTGGAGATCGAGCTCACAACCTGGGCTAGTGTCCTGCCTGGGAATTGAACCTGTGACCTCTTGGTGCATGAAATGATGCTTAACCAACTGAGTCACATTGGCTGGGCTTTCGCATGGTTTTTAATCAGGGGCCTGAAGAATACAGCCTGGAGTCTGTGTACCATGGTTCAGTGTCCTCTCTTGAGCCCTTTATGGCCCCACACAGCTCAGCATTAGGGCATTGGAGATGGAAAAACATCTGGACAAGGAAGAGACACTGTCCAATCTCCTACACTTCTTTGTTAGTTCATGCATCTTTCATTCATTCAACAGATCTTAATTGAGCTCTCATTATGAAATATATACATGAGACTAACAAAGGCCCTGTCCTCCTGGTACATCAATCCAGAAGGAGAGATGAACAATAATCAGGTTAATGTATTGTGGGCTGACTTGCATCCTGTATTTGAAGATACGGTCTTTAAAGAAACAAATTAAAATGAGGTCATTAGAGTGGGCTCTAATCCAATATGGCTGCTGCCCTTAGCAGAGACTGGGACACAGACACACACAGAGGAATGACTGTGTGAGGACCCAAGGAGAAAAGGGTCATCTACAAGCCAAGGAGAGAGGCTTCAGGAGGACCCAGCCCTGCTGCCCCCTTGAACTTGAACTTCCAGCCTCTAGGACTGTGAGAAAATACATTTCTGTTGTCTAAGCCACCCAGTCTGTGGTGCTTTGTGTTGGCAGTCCTAACAAACAAATACTTAAATAATTAATGACCTTTCTATCCACATCAGAAAACATTTGATACATTTCACAAGATGCAGTATTTTTTTTTTTTTTGGACCCTCAACTCCAAGGATGCAGACCCCTCCAGGTCCAAATCTAAAAGAGCATTTTTCAAGACTCTCCAGTTCCCAGCCAACAACAGGGCTTAGAACTCTCATATTTGAACCTACTATTAGCCCTGTGCCTCCCAGCATGCAACAGTGTTTGGAGATGTCCTCAACCTCCCAGCATGCAACAGTGCTTGGGGACCTTAACTCCCAACCTTCAACAGTTCTTGGACATCCTACCTCCCAGTATGCAACTATGCCGGGAGCTCACATAACCCAGCATGCAACTGTCCTTAGAGATCCCACCTCCCATCATGCAACAGTGCTTGGAGACCCTACCTACCAGCATGCAACAGTTCTTGTAGACCATGCCTCGAAGTATTCAACAGGGCTTAGAGATCTCACCTCCCAGCATGCAACAGTGCTTGGGGATCCCACCTCCCAGCATGCTGTGTCCTCAGTCTCCAGGCTCTCAACCCTCACCTGAGAGGCCAAAGCAGACAGCTCCAACTCGGACCAGGAACTCTGCGCCCTTGCTGAGCACCATGATGATGCACAGGCAACCCAGGGCCAAGACGGTCAGACCGAGCACTGCTATCACCGCAGCTGCCAGATTCATCTCTGCAGAGGGAAGGGGAAGAAGTGGAGACCACGGGATGGAGGAGTGGGGAGAACTCCCTGAGAGGGATCCAGAACCAGGAAGAGGGGAGATTCAGGCCAAGAGACTTTTCAAATAGAAGATGACCCAGGCCAATACTTATACTGTTTACTTATACTGTTGTGGGAACTAAGACTCAGACAGGACCAGTTATTTGCCTGAAGTCACACAGCAAAGAGGAGACAGAGCCAGAACTAGAAGGAGATGGGAGCCACCACTGATTACTTATGATCTGGTTACCGTCTGTGTACAGGTGAGGAAACTGAGGCAGTGGGTGTGTGGGTGACAACGGAGGAGGTATGTGACCGTGGAATGGTCCAAGTCCGAATTCCCCCTGGCCACTTCCTAGCTGGAAGATTCTGGTTAAGTCATGGAACCTCTCTGAACCTCTAGAAAATCAAATTCCCCGTTGGATCAGGCTGTTTCGAAGACTAGAAATCACAGGTGTGAAGGGTCCAGTGCAACACGTGGCACCCAGCAGTTGTTCCATATGTGTGCACTGATATTTTATCATCCCAGAGGAGCCTAGTAACATGTCCAAACTCACTGAACATCAAGGCGAGAGAAAAAGTAAAGAGAGTAAGGAATCGGTGTTTATCAAGGACCTACTGTGGGCCAGACAAGGACCTACTGTGGGCCAGACAGCACGCTATATGTCCTGACTACATCAGATGAGATTCATGAATTCATGACGTGGCCCTGGCCACTGTTGCTCAGTGGTTAGAGCATAGGCCTGCACAGCAAAGGGTTTGATTCCTGGTCAAGGGCACATACCTGGGTTGCAGGTTCAAACCCCACCCCAGTGGGGGTATGTGGGGGAGGCAACCAATCCGATATGAGATCAATATTGTTTTTTTTCTCTCTCTCCCTCCCTCCCTACCTTCCCACTCGCTCAAAGAAAATCAATGGAAAAAAATATCCTCGAGTGAGAATGAACAACAACAACAGCAAAAGATTCATGACATGATCACAATTCTCTTGCGGGTGGGGCTTTTGAAGTGCCAGGGTGATTAAGAGACTATGGTTAGAATAGAAAAGGTCAAGTCTTGCCCTGGCTGGTTTGGTTCAGCGGTTAGAGCATCAGCCTGAGGACTGGAGAGTCCTGGGTTCGGTTCCCGCTAAGGGCATGTACCTTGGTTGCAGTTTGTCCCAGGCCCCTGTTGGGGTTGTGTGGGTGGCAACCACTCGATGTGTCTCTCTCACATTGATGTTTCTCTCTCTCTCTTTCCCCCTCTCTCCCTCCCACTCTGTCTAAAGATAAATGCAAAAAAAAAAAAACGAAAGAAAAGGTCAAGTCTTAAGTACTAACTTGTCCAGTGTGGTAGCCATTAGCCACATGTGGCCTTTTCATTTTAAATGGATTGAAGTTAAGTAAGATCTAAAACTCAGTTTCTCGGTCACAGCTGCCGCTCTCCAGATGCTCAGCAACCACCTGGGACCAGTGTCTACCACATCGGCCAGCACAGACACTGCACGTTTCCATGTTCACAGAAGGTTCTGCAGGAGAACGCTGCTTTGGAGTCAGAATTACTGAGGTTTGAGTCCTGACTCTGTCTCTCCACTTCCTGGGAAAAATACATGTAACTACTTCTGAACATCCCTTTTCTCACCTGGAAGGTGAAGATAAAGCCCCTGCCTGCAGGGTGTGGCAAGGATGGAGGCCTCATGAAAGGAACCTCCAGCACCATGCTGAACTCAGCATGTGGTAGGTAGAGGTGCATTGGTGAGATGCTGAAGTGCTATCCGCAAAGAGGGGCTGTCACTTGCCCAAAGTTGCACAGCACGTGGCAAAGGCAGAGCTGGGGTAGGACTGTCGGGCACAGGACTCTGGAGAACCATGACCCTACTGTCACCACACCCCAAAGGTGGGCCTCCCCAGGACATAGGAGCTGAGCCCTTCCTGAGCCAAAGCAGAAAAGAGGACAAGTCTATCAGGAACTCTAGCCCATCCAGTGTGACTCAGTTGGTTGGGCGTCATCCTGGTCAGGGCACACGCCCAGGTTGTGGGCTTGATCCCCAGTAGGGGGCATCCAGGAGGCAGCCGATGAATATTTCTTTATCTCTCTCCCTTCCTCTCTTTGAAATCAGTAAAAACATTTAAAAAAAAAAAAAAAAACCCTCACCCTGACCAGTTTGGCTCAGCAATTAGAGCATCGGCCTGTGGACCAAAGGGTTGTGGGTTTGATTCCCAGTCAAGGGCACGTACCTGGGTTGCAGGTTTGATCCCTGGCCCTGGTCGTGTGGGAGGCAACCATTCGATGTGTCTCTCTCACATCGATGTTTCTCCCTCCCTCCCTCCCTCTCTATATGTCTATCTGGAAAAAATCAATGGAAAAATATCCTTGGGTGAAGATTGGAAAAAAAAAAAAAAAGAACTCTAACATGGTCAGCATATCCCCACCACCACCTCACTGCAGGGTGAAAAGTTCCTACCTTTCTTTGTAGTTCTCTGGAAGATGTGTGCATTCTCCCCCGTGGTGAAGAATTTAAAATAGGTGCAGTTGGCTTCTGTGGGAGCAGGAGAGAGAGAAATTAGGGAGGTGATGGCATGGAGGCCCCTAGTATAAGTTCAGAAGTGGACATTAAACAGAGCTCACAGTAATCTAAAAATATGACATGAGCCCTGGCCAGTGTGGCTCAGTGGTTAGATGTCAGCCTGAGCACGGAAGGTTCACGGGTTTGATTTCCGGTCACCAGCACGTACCTGGGTTGCAGGTTCAATCCCAGGCTCCAGTTGGGGCACATGTGGGAGGCAACCAATCAATGTGTGTCTCTCATATCTATGTTTCTCTCTCTTTCTCTCTTTCCTTCTCTTCCACTCTCTCTAAAAATCCATGGAAAAAAATATCCTCTGATGAAGATGAACAACAACAAAAAAATGACACGAGCATCTCTGGCAGACAGAAGAGAAAAAAGGATGCTCAGTAAAAGCCACCTGCTGCCACACAGCTTATCCAGGAGCGGGGATTCCAATGAGGAGCTTTGAGATCCAGATCTGGGGCTTTGAGTGGGCTATTGACCCCTCTGGGCCCTCTGACTCTTCCTCTATTAAATGAGATAATAGTCTTTCTTGGCTCCATCATATGGGTTGGCTGAGAGTCGAGTGGGGTTTGAAACAGACACTCGCTTTATTCAACAAAGGACCTCAAGATCCAGGCAACAGAAGAAATGATTTCAGAATGGATTCTGGTCTAGGATACACAAAGGACTCCTGCAGGTTGGCAAGAAAACAAAGGTAACCCTGTTGAAAATGGGCAAAGGATATGAATAGACAAGTCATGGAAGAGGGAGCCTGGATGTTTCACAAGTCTGTGAAGAGAGGCTGCCCCTCACCAGGGATCGCAGAAATGCCACTCAAATCAGCAAGGAGATGCCACTTAAGAGCCATTAGATTGGCAAATATTAAGAGGCTAATACCAGGCGTTGGAAGGCTCAGAGGGAACAAGCTGAGAGGGTAAACTGGTCCAGGCATGCTTTGTTTTATGACACTTAGAAGATTCTGCATTTTCATCAACATTGAGGTGAGACCCTCCCTCCACCAGCAAAACAATACATTTTTTTAAATTATGACTCACTAAAGGCTTGGAGGATGATTAGCATTTTTTAGCAATAGAGGGTTTTTTAGACCTAATGCTATTGCACACTAAATGCACTATAGTATAAACATAACTCTTCGGTGAGTGGGAAACCAGTGCATTTGTGTGACTGGCTTGATTGCGGTGGTCTGGAACAGAACTCGTATCTTCGAGGAACGCCTGTGCTAGTCTTTTTAGAAGACAGACTCTGCCCTGGCCAGTTTGGCTCAGCGGTTAGAGCGTCGGCCTGCGGGCCGGAGAGACCCGGGTTCGGTTCCCGCTAAGGGCATGTACTTCGGTTGCAGTTTGTCCACGGCCCTGGTTGGTCGTGCGGGTGGCAGCCACTCGATGTGTCCCTTCACATCAATGTTTCTCTCTCTCTCTCCCTTCCTCTCTCTCCCTCCCACTCTATCTGTACAAAAAATGGAAAAATATCCTCGGGTGAGGATAAAAAAAAAAAGAAGACAGACTCTGACAGACTAGCAAATCAAGTATGTTTATACCCTATAACCAGCTATTTAAATTCTGGGGATACATACAGACAAAAACCATATGTAAGAATATACACCAAGGTCAGGGTGTGATCCCTGGTCAGGGCACCTACAAGAATCAACCAATGAATGCATGAATAAGTGGAACAACAAATCGATGTTTCTCTCTCTACCCCACTCTGTCTCCCTTCCCCTCTCTCTAAAATCAATCAATAAGTGAAAAATTTGTAAAAAGAGAGAGATGTGAGGGACCTCATCGTATGCAGTGTGGTGGGGTGGGAAATCCCCTCCAGGACAGCGAGAACCTTTGGGACATCTTTGTGGACTAGTGAGATGCAATACAATGTCGTTGCTAAGAACAGAGATGAGCAGGGTTCAAACCCCATGGACAAGCCTGCATGTATCCAAGGAACTGCTTTAGGTCTCCCCTCCTCACTTTTCTCTTCTGTAGAATGGGGGTGATAACAACTACTCACAGGGCTGCTCTGTGGATTAGCGAGTTAATGCATGTGAAGTACCTAGAACAGAGCCGGGCACTGCATAAGCGTCCAATATTTATATTACCGGGGCATCCCATTTCACAAAAGTTTAGGAACTTTCTGCGCTCGAGGATCTTAGAGGCGAGTTGTAGCCTGACTGCCGGAGTGAAGTGTTTAATCTGGACACTGAGTGGGTGGGTACCTCTGGCAACAAGAGTTCTTGACATAACGCTTTGCTACCAAGGGCTCAGCTCATCCTATTTGGAACCCCTTGGAGGTAAGAGTCCACATCTGGAGAAGTGACAAAGGAGGGAAGGCCCCTCTGGAGCCCAGAGGGGCAGAAGATCTTTGAGGGGTACAGAGGTGATAGGACAACCTTGGGACAGTAGAGTGTGGGAGACCCATGTGGGTGACCAAGCACGGAATGTCCTAAATGGGCCCTGAGGGGTGTCACATAGTTTCATCAGTAGAGGAGGCATGAGATCCGGGACCCAAGATGGGCAGGCTGGCTCCCTGGTATACACAAAGGGCATGGTGTACCATCAGGAAGCGTGGGTGGTAGGGGAATGCTCCCTGACATAGTTAGGGGTGAAGAACCACATTGTGGGAAAGTGAGGTGTGGGGGTGTCTGTAAGAGAAAATGAGAAGGATGCAGTGTGTAATCTGGGTATTTAGAGGTGCGAGGGATGGGAAATGAAGAACATTTCTCTGGAAGCGGCTGCCCTGGGGTGTTGGGAGGTGTTTGTGAGAGCTCATTTCGGGGAACCAGTAGGAAGGAACAGGCATGGATTCTACTTGGGGTGGGGGTCAAGGCTGTCTGTCTCCCAGGGCCCACAGGATGGGGTACAAGCTGTCTCAGGAGTGGGAAGAGCAAGCTGACACCAGGAACCCAGTCTCTCTCGAGGGGCACAGGCTGTATGTGGGCACATGCATGGGGCACAGGCTGTCTCAGGAGGTGTGGGTGTTTTGGGGGGACGCAGGCTGTCTGAGGGCACCAGCTGTGTCTGGAGTCACAGGCTGGGTGTCGGGGCCGAGGCCATGTATGGGGAGACAGGCTGGTCTGGGGACACACATGTCTGGGATCATAGGCTGTACTGGGGTATAGGAGCTCAAAAGGTCATAGGATAGTCTGGGGCACAGGTTGGTTGGTCTAGGGGTACAGGGAACAGGCAGGTCTGGGGGTATAGCTGGCCTGAGGTTAAGGCTGGTGTAGGGGTACAGGCTGGGCTAAGAGTACAGGCTGGTCTAGGGGTACCTGCTGGCCTGGGGGTACAGGCTTGTCTGAGGTACAGCCTGGTCTGATGGCACAGGCTGGTCTAGGGGTACAGGCTAGTCTGAGTTAAGGCTGGTCTGGGATACTGGCTGGTCTAAGGTTAAGGCTGGTTTGAGGGCACAGGCTGGTCTAGGGGTACAGGATGGACTGGGGAACAAGCTAGTCTCGGGGTGCAGACTTCCCGTCTCAGCAAGGTTGGTGCCTGGAGCAAAGGCGGTTGGGAGCACAGGGCACGCTCCCTCCCTGGGGCTCCGGCTCTCTCTGGGCACAGGCTGTTTCTGGGGCAGTTTTCTCCCACCCGGGTTCTCCCGCGGCCTGGGGTCCGAGCCCTGGGGGCGGCCTCACCTCCGGGCAGCTGGGCGGGGCCGCACGTCTCCCTGCCGGCGGGCACATCCTGCTGCCACAGTCGCTTGACGCACATCTTCCACAGTCCCAGGTAGGCGGCGTCACACACGGCGCTACCGTTGGCCTTGAAGGTGTTGAGCTCCACCCAGAACTCGGTGCCCACGGCCAGCACGGCCAGCGTGGCGCCCACCGCGGTCAGCAGCAGCACCAGCTTGACCTTGCCCTCCTGCTCCGGCGACAGCCCGGGCTGGCGCTGCCCGTCACCTCGCCGGGCGGCCGCCCCCCGCCTCCGGTCCTCCTCTTGCATCAAGAAGTTGGACCACATCATCATCCCGGCGGCTGGATGGGCTCCGGTGCCGGTGCTGAGGAGACTGAGCTGGGAGGGCTGGGGGCGGGGCGGGGATGGGGGCGCGCCTGGGGTCTTGAAGGGGGTGAGGGGCTGTTTCCACTGGACTACAAAATAAGGAATCCCAGAATCTCCCTGGAACCTCAAATGGGGGAGCCGAGGGTGCCTCTGGGTCCCAGAAGCGGAAAAAAAACAAGACCCCCTACACCCCGCTGGGGAACCCGTGGAGGTTCAGAATGGGCCTGAGTTTCCACAGAAACAGCAAAGACGATGGGACCCAGAGGAAAATCAAAATGCCAAGGAGGGGGCCTGAGGGCCCCAAAGCAGAACTGAGTGCCACTTGAAGCTCTCAGGGGCTGCTCCGGGCTCCCACGAGGCGCAGAGTTCGGGGTACCCAGGAGAGGAAGCTGAGCTCCTCTGTGATCCGAAGAAGGCACCTCCTGGCTTCTTTTGGGCTCAGAGTCGGGGAAGGAAGGACTTGGGTCCCCTCTGGGGTCTAAGAGGGAGATCAGATGGCCTTCTGGGTCTCAGAGAGGCGGCAGGACCACCGCCCCCCAACATTCACAGAAGGGAAAGCGGAGTCTTGGCCGGGGTTCAGAAAAGGGGGGGCTGGGGACCTGCTGGAATTCAGAGAAGAGACTCGATCGGAGCTCTGCACTGGGGCTGAGATGGGGACCGGTGAGGGACACAGCGGAGTCCAGAGAAGGGGCTCAGAGCTCCCCCAGAGCTCCCACTGAGGCTCAGATAGAGGGGCTGTGCCCCGAACTGCGGCTCAGGAAATGGGGACAGAGATTCCCCACGGTTTAAAGGACAGCTGGGACCCGGAAGGGACTCTGTGTCCCCTCGGGATCACTGGGCTCCCCCTCCCCCGGGCTCCCAGGGCCTGCTGGGCCGGGACAACTCCAGGCTCAGCTCCAGGCCGAGCGCCTCCCACAGGCCTCCCACCCCCGGCTCCTGGGCTGGGACCCCTCTCGCCCTCCTGCCTGGGCGCCGCGCCGGCCCCAGCTCCGCGATCCTCCGAACCGTGGGCTCCGCACCGCCGCCCGCCCGGCCGCCGGACCTGCGCTGCGCTCGCCGCGGCCTCGCCCCCAGCCGCCCACTCCACCCTCCCGGCTATTTCGGGCCCGACCCGTAAATAACACCCGCACCTGTCGCCGGGCGCCTGTTGCCATAGGGATCCCGGGTATTTTAAGGAGACAAGGGGCGGGGGAGGGACTAGGGGCCGAGTCCCAGACCCGGCTGGGGCCTGAAGGGACATTTATTTCCTTAAGGGGCAAGCGTGGGAGCTGAGGGTCCCATCTCCCAGGTGGCAGGGAGCCGGGAGTTTGCTCCCGAACAGGCCCAGCTGGCCCGAGGGAAGAGGGGCTGGGGCCTGGAGCGCTGGGTCCGAGGGAGGAGGGCTGGGGCCCAGATCCCTGGGTCTTGAAGGTGGAAGGACAGATTTGGTGCTGGGAGCTCCCCAGGAGGTAGAATGGCCAGGCCCAGGCAGAGGCTTGTTGATGGGAGCAGGGGAACCAAAGCCATAGTCCTCTTCACCGAGTTTATTACCCGAGCACCCCGAGGGCTTCCCATGCAGATTTGCTCCTCTAGGGGCAGGGACGGGACAGCCACGTGGCATGGCAGCAGGGTCTGGTCTTCCCCCTTTCGCCCCCACCCTCAGCCCTTGTGCAGACAGCCCAGGTGGGACCCACCTGCACCAACTCCTCTGCCCACAGTGGACTGCTCCAGCTGGCTGGTGTGCCCCGGCCTTCTCCGTATACCCTGCTCTGGACGCAACTTCCATGGGAACACGCATCACCCTGGTGTGACTGTGTGCGTCTGTGGGCTCGCCCTCCAGCCTGGGGCACAGCCCAGATGCAGGAGGAACTCACCTCCTCCACAGCACTGCCCAGCCCAGGACCACACAGGAGGCCTTAGGAAAAGTGCGCTAGGCCACGTGAATGAATGAATGAATGAATGAATGAGCCAATGGCTGAACCATGTGAGATGACGACACACAGACATCCCCTCCCAAGCTAGCAAAAGTGCCCCCCTCAGAGCACAGCCCCTTCCGCTAGGCTGTCCCACCTGTCTGCAGACCTGGGCAGCTCTGAGATGCAGGGCAGGGTGGTACCTGGAAGGCCTCAGGACATTTCTTAAATGAATGAGTGCAACCTGTTTCTTCCTTCACATCCCTGCATCCTCCCAGGCCTGGACAGGCTCCAGAAGGGGACCTCGGGGTGCTCGGTGTTGAGCACAGCCTGGGTGGAGGATGGAGCAGGGCAGGGCAGCCCCAGGGAGAGTCAGCCTGCCCCCTGAATCCATGTCCCCTCTGGGCCTTGGGCTTCCCCATCTTTCTCAGTCCATCTGCTGTGACAGCTCTCTCGTTTCAGGGTGCACTCTCTGTCGCCCATCTCCCGGTCTGCAAAGCTCCCTATCTGTCCTTTCACAGAAAGGGTAAGAACTTTCTTTGGAATAGAAGTCCTTGTCACTTTCACACCCGGAGGATGGCTTGGTCTCCTTGCCCTTCCCCCCCCACACACACCCTCTCTCTTTCTTCCACTCCAGCAGGGCCCCAGTCTCCACCCTTGTATTGCAATCACCTTTTATCAGGGTCACATTATCAAACCAAACAGTCGCTTTGGGGATTTTCCTTGCTCTCAGCAGCATGGCTGGTTTCCTCCTGGTCTCCACCCACTTCATGGCCACTCCTCTCCCCACTCTGCTATATTCCCTTCTGACCCGGATGCAGATAGATGCTCCGCCCCCACCCCCACCCGCACCCCCGTCCCACGCCCTCCCTGGGCTCTAGCTGGGGTAGATTCTCTGTCGGCATTCTCCTCCTACCTCCTCACCTAATCCAGTCTCATGGCATTTAATGTCTCCTGTGTACTGACCTTTCCAAAATTTATATTTCTAGCCATGACCTGTCCCTCAGCTACAGTCTCACATTTCCAACTGGCCACTTGATACCCCGACTTGGGTTTCTCACAGGCATCTCCAAAAGATGCTGATTCCTCCACCCAAACCCTGACTTCTTCCCCGGTGCCCCCTCGTGCACTGCTAAATTAAGAATTCCTGTCTAGTTCGGTGGCTGGTGTGGCTCAGTGGGTTGAGGACCGACCGATGCACCAAGAGGTCTCCAGTTCAGGGCATATGCCCGGGGTTGTGGGCTCACCCTCCATTGGGGGGCGCACACGAGGCAGCCGATGGATATGTCCCATCAATGTTTCTACCTCTCTCTCCCTCTCTCTTCCTCTCCAAAAAAAAAAAAAAGGAAATCAATAAAAACATTTTTTTTTTAAAGTTCCTGCTTTGGTTTCTCAGTCTCTGTCCTGCAGCATCCAGTTCATTACTACTGGTTCTGCCTCCAGAACCCCATTTCTGTCCATCCTTGCTGACTCCACCTGGGTCCAGGCCTCCACCTGCCTGAACTGGACAAGGACCAGAGCCCCTACAGCTTGACGGCCACTCTCACTCCTGCATCCACTCTCAGCGCCACAACGTGGTTCTGTTATTTTGGTTTGTTTTTTAAATGCGGTTTTTATTGATTTTTGAGAGAAGGAGAAAGAAACATCGATGTGAGAGAGAAACATCAATCAGCTGCCTCCTACACGCCCCTTACTGGGGATCAAGCCTGCAACCAGGGCATGTGCCCTGACTGGGAATGGAACCAGGACCTGTCAGTCCATGGGATGGTGCTCAATCCACTGAGCCACTCTGGCCAGGCCTGTTATTATTATTTTTTTTATCCTCACCCAAGGACATTTTTCCATTTTTTGTTCAGACAGAGTGGGAGGGAGAGAGAGAAAGAGAGAGACAGAAACATCGATGTGAAAGGGACACATCGAGTGGTTACCACCTGCTTGACCCAACCAGGGCCAGGGACAAACTGCAGCCAAGGTACGTGCCCTTAGAGGGAACCGAACCCTGGTCTCTCTGGACCGCAGGCCGATGCTCTAACCACTGAGCAAAACAGGCCAGGGCTGTTATTCCTTTTTTTTTTTTTAATGAAAATATAATCATATCCTGCCTGTGCTCATCTCAGGGAGTCTAGAAAATCAGGTTTCTCCCCAGAACTAAAAGGGCCTATGTGAAGGGCCACCAGCCTGTTCTGACCTCACCCTGGTTAACGTGCCCACCCTGGGACTCTTCTGGGTGTTTGTGCTGCCTTTAGTGACCAGGATGCTCACCCTGTCCCTCACAACCCCAGTCTCCAGGGCCCTACCCCATCATGGTCACTACATGCTGCTTGGTTTTTAAATCAGTTCCCTGTGACTGAAATTCTCTTGTTTGCCTCTCCTGTGAGTTCCAGGAGATCAGGACCAAGGCTCAGCACATGCTTTGGGCCTCACCCGAGTCCAGAACAGGATGGTGCTCAGTGAGTACTTCCTGAACACTGAAAACTAGCAAAGCGAAGAAATAGCTCCTTCCTGTACAGCGCACTCACTTAGGAGTCTCCACGTTTTCGTCTAGGCAGATCTTGGGATCTTTCTCTGTGGCCCTAGCTCTGTGTCTCTGTGGATTTGCTGTCTCTGAGCTGTCTCACGTCTGAGTTTTGCATCTTTGTGCCAGCCTTCCTGTTCCTTTTTCTCTCCTCTCTGGACCCCCTAATCTTTTCCTCTCTGCCTCTGTGACTCACCTAGTTTGGGTCTCTATTGCCCTCATCCCTCTCCCTCATCTCCCTCCCTCTGCCCACCCCCCACCTCTTTGTTGCTCTCTGACCTTTTGACCCTAGAGTCTACTACCCTCAACCAGTTCTGCCCCCTCTCCCACCAAACTTGTCTCAAACCCCACCTCTCCCTTGTCCCCTCCTATTGGTCACCCTACACCAAGTTCTTCCCCACATTTTCCAGGATGTCTGAGACTATCCCCACAGCATTTCTCCCTGGTCCCCACTCTCCAGTCTCTCTCTCCCTTTCTAGTACTTCCACAGGGGACCCTATGGGAAGTCCCAACACCCAGTCCCACCCTTTTCTGCTGCTGCTCCATGTTCTGAAGACAGAGGCTGGCAGAGCCCCTGGCAGCATGGGCATCACTGCCCACTCCTCCCTGTCTGTCCTCCCACCAGACCAGGGCAGGGCCAGGCCTGATTATCTCTGTCCTCCCAGCATCTCAGAGCACCGGGCCTGGCACCTGGGAGACCTCAGGAAATGTTTGCTGAGTCAAAGAAGGGAAACGGCTAAGCACCATCCCTTCTTCGACCTCAGTAACCTTCAAACCCATCTCCCCTACCCCCACAGCCCTTGTGGAGCAGACTGTTCGCTTGCTCAAAGCTCTCCCATAGTTCCCTGCTGCCCCAACTGAAGCCTGAAACTCCAGCTCCTTAGGCTCTGCCTTCTAGCTGCTTCTCTGGGCTCACCTCCCATCCCCGCCTCATCCTTCAGTGTACCCAAACTATGTGTACTGTCCCCTTGCAGCACGCTGGTTCGCTCCTCCAGGGCTTTGCCCCCAAAGCCTTCCTCGCCCGGCAGGTTCCTACTCATCCATTTGAAACGGAGCTTGGGCATGACATTCTCTCTCAATTTCCCTAAGTACTGCCCATTCCTGGCAGCCGGTCACTCCATTCTCTCTCAAGGTGCCCAACGTGGTCCCTGTTACCAACACCAGTCACCCTGCCTGGATTGTGGTTTCGCCGGCTCCCGTGAGGTCTGCTTCACTGTTTTACCTCCTGGGATCCTGACTCTAGCACAGTACCTGACACATTAACAAAGACGCAAAAAATGGGGAGTGAATGGCTGAATGAATGAGTGACACACATTTCTAAGTCCCGGCGCCTCTCCTGCACACCAGACACCGTGCCTGTGCGTCGGGATTTGTGTAATGATCTGCTTTTCTCCCGAGTGTGCCTTTCAAGAGCCAGTGCCTGCGTTTGATGCTGAATTCCAGCGTGCCTCTGCCTCTCTCATCTCTGAGTTCCTGCCTCCCCTTTGTACACCATTCACGTTGCACTCCTGCTGAGTGCCATTCATTCCATGGCTCCACACTGCCCTCAGAACAAACTCTCAACTCCAGGCCGAACCTACAAGTCCCCGGGAAGTCTGGCCCTGTCTCTGGCTCCAGCCTCATCTTCAGCCGTTTGCACCTGGCTCACTACATGACAACCTTCCCTGGCAGCTCCTCCTGCCCCAGGGCCTTTGCATATACTGTTCCCTGGCTGAAACACTTCCCTCCAGCTTCGCCTAGCTTCTTGTCATCCTATTCGTGTAAGCTAAGATACCCCTTCCCTTCAAAGTGGGTTAAGCCCCCCCTGACGGAGCATACTGTAGCATTTTGGATTTTTCCTATGTCTTAACTGTAATTTACTATTTATGGATACAATTCCTCGATTAACACACAAGATGTTAACTCCACGAGGACGGTGGGGACCCTGTCTGTTTTCCTCCCTTCTGTAGGCTCAGCATTTAGCACAATGCCTAGAACTTTCAGTATGCAAACAACTCGCTGGTAATGACCGAACCAGTCACGTTCTGTGCCTGTTTATATCCTTCACAGTGCGGTCCTTGTATACAACGGGTGCTTAATAAACCCTGGTGGAAGAACGAAGGGAAAGTGAATGAATGTCCACCGCCATGGCTAGTCACTCCGCCTTTCCGCATCCCTTCCCTTTACCTGTCTCTTTACATAGAACATATATATAGTTTGTAGGTATAACTATATATTTGTGTGTTATGGGCCCCTCTCCAGGAGTAGGCTGGGCTGGGAGTCCCTCCCTCCCCCCGCCCCGCCCCCACATGCACACAGCAAAATATTAAAAAGAAAACATCTCAAAACTGCAAAAAACACAACAGCCCCGCCCCCAGTCCCACAAAAAAATAAAACACGACGCTCCCTCACGCAGCCCCTACCCTTTCTTTCCCTTCCCCCTCCCTTGGGGTCCCTGATCCGAAGGTGGGGGCGCTCCCCCATGCCTGGGGGGTGCGGGGGCGCGGGGGTAAGGCCAAGCAGTCTCCAGCGCGCTCACGGGGAAGGAGGGGGCGCCCACGACCCCCGGCAGCCTTGTTGCACGCGCGCCTGCGCACGCGCCCGGCGCCCCCCGCGCGCCCCTACACCGGTGTGGTTTTCCTGTTGAGCGTGTTGGTGTTGGAGGCGGCTGCCTCCTTGGCCAGGGTCCCGGGGGCGGGCGCGGTGGGCGCAGGCGGGGCGGGCGCGGGGGCGGCGGGCGGCCCGGTTACTGTGACCGTGACGCCGCCACCCGCCTCCTTGGGGAAGGCGTTATGCAGCGTGAGGAAGCCGGGCGCCCCCCCGCGGTCCCGCTCGGCGCCCGCCCCGCCGCCGCCGCCCGCCCCCCCCGCCGAGCCGCCGAACGCCCCTCCGCTGCTGGCCCCCGCCAGCCCCGCCGCCACGCTGCCCTTGGACGGGTCGCGGCTGAGCGTGTACATGGAGATGTCCGTGGAGGCGAAGCCCGGGCCCCCGGCGCCGCCGGGAGACACGTCCCGCGACGGCGACGGCTCGCTGGAGCGGGAGCTAGAGCGGGAGCGGCGGCGGTAGCGGAAGCGGTAACTGGGCAGACGGAGGATGGCCGAGGGGCCGCTCCCGCCACTGCCGCCCGCGCCCCCGCCGGCCTTGAGCAGGTCCGAGCGAGACTGGCAGTGCGCCTCGCGGCTGCGCTCGATGTAGATGTTGACGGCCAGCACGCCGATCACCTCCGCCAGGATGAACGACAGCCCGCCGAAGTAGAAGGACCAGCCGTACGAGTAGTGGTTCTTCTTCTCGTCGTCCCGCTTGGGGCCCGGCTCGCCCGCGTTGGCCGAGATGTACACGATGACGCCGATGATGTTGCTCAGGCCTGGGCGGGGATGGTCAGACGGGAGCCTCTAGGCCACCCCGGCCCCAGCCGGCCTGCCCCCGCAGGCCTAAACTACACCCGGATGGTATAGGCCCCGCCCCAAAGGTTGAGCCTAGTCCCAGGTGGTCTAAACTCCTCCCAAACTGGCCAGTCCCCGCCCCCAGGAAGCCTAGGACACTCCCCAGGTCTAATCCCACCTCGTGGAGAGCCTAAGTCCCACCCCCCAGATAGCCCAGGCCCCGCCCCGGCTACACTAAACTCCGCCCCGGCTACGCTAAACTCCGCCCCCACATGGTCTGAGACCGTGCCCTTAATGGTTCAGACCCTGCCCCAGGTGGTCCAAGCCCCATCCTAGGTCCAGGGCCCGCCCCAAGGTGTCCTGGGCCCCTCCCTCTCTGGTAGCCTAGGACACACATCATCTGGTCCAGACCTCACCCTGGGTGGTCCAGGCCCTACTCTGATTAGTCTAATATCAGTATTGCTGTTAGACGCCTGGGTTTTCCCCTGTCTGCAAGTTTAAACTCTTAATCAGATAATTCCACTCTGACTCTCTAGGCCCTGACCCTGGCTGACCTAAACTCTTCCTTTCATGATTATCATCCCAGCCTGGTTATCTCGCCTAGGCCCTCTCCTGCTGGTCTAAAATTCGTCCTTATTAGAGCAGGTCTCATTTCTACTCTAAGCCCCGCCTCCAGATTGCCCGACACCGCCTCCCGCGGGTCTAGGCCGGACTCCTGCCCAATCGCAGGTCGAGCAAGCCCCGCCCCCTGCAGATCTTGCTCCACCTCCAAAGTATCTCCTACCCTTTATGCTATATCCTACCCCTTCTCTGGGTTCCACTACTTCAAAAAAGCTCTGCTCCCACCCCCCCGGAACTTGGCAGCACTACTCAATTCGGGTAGAAAGGGGGCGCTCTCCTTAATGAGATGCCTCACTGGGAGTCGGTCTGGAGGGCTCCCAGGACCTTTCTGGACCCGCCAGAATCTACAAAACCCTACCCCCTGAAGCAGGCTCCTTCCCCTCTGCATCTAAATCACTTTCTCTCTCTGCAGCCTGGCCTTCCACTGCCCAGCCCTGCCCCTCTATCTTCAAGACCTCAATTATGTCTCAAGGCTTAAGCTCCTCCCCCTTCATCACCAGAACCGCGGTCTTTGGAACCTAAACTCCCGCATCCCAGATTACGCGCTAGACACCTGTCTGTGCTGGGTTCACTCCCCCGGAAACAGCGGGTGGCGATGGAGTTTGGGAAGAGCCTAGGCGGGCTCCGGGCCTCAGGGGGCGCCCGGGGCAGTGTGGCTCTGCGCGCGCGCGCGCGCGCACACACACACACACACACACACACACGTGGCGACGCGGGTGGGCCGCCCCAACGGCTACCCCCCCTCCCTCTGCCTCTCACCTGCTGCTACGAACAGAATTCCTGCGCCCAGAATGATGTTCCTCTTGGACTTGTAGACTCGGGAGGCCGCCACGCACACGCCCCCAAGCAGCAGCAGGATGGCGCTGAGGATGGGGAAGATGCTGGACGCCCGGACGACTCCTGCGAGGGAGAAAGGAGAGGAGGGTGTGAGAGGAGGGGGTGAGCGCCAGGGCTGTCAGACGCGGCCGCCTGCGCCCCCCACCGCCCCCGCGCGCTGCTCCTCCTGCCTTCTTTTGCCTACACTTGTCCTCTCTAGTTCTCCACTTTTCCCTCCCTGCCCGTGTTCTGGTTATTTCATTCATCCTCCTTTTTAACATTTCTCCATTTCTCGCTCTGATTTCCTCCTTCTATTTCTCCTTTTTTCTGTCTTCCTCGGTTAATATTTCTCTCGCCTGTCATTTTCTTTTCCCCTTTTTATTTCTCTAAATCACTCTCACTCTCTTTCTCTGAACTTCTCTATTTCTGTGGACCCCTTCCTTTCTCTTTTCCCTTCTTGCACAATCCTTCCCTTTCTGTGTATTCCCACCCCACCCCCCCACCATCCCTCTCTCAAACCAGTTAATATTTCTCTCCCTCCTCCTCTCCATTCTGCCTGGCTCCATCTATCTGGGTTTCTCTTTTTTTTCTCTCTCTTTCTCCCTGCATCCCTGCATCCCTCTCTCTCTCTTCTTTCTTTCCTTCTTCTCCTCCCCGCCCCCTCCCTCAGCTTGGCTTCATCTCTCCTGGTTTCTCCTTTCTCTCTCGCTCCCTTCTCTCTGCCACCACCCTCCTTTCTGTCTGGCTTCATTTATAGCTCTGGGGTTCTCTTCTTTCTCTCTCTCTTTCCCTCTCTCAAGTCTCTCTCTCCCTCTCTCTGCAGTCCTTTCCACCCACCCCCCAAACCCTAGGCAAACAGATTTTGAGATTTCTGAGCTCCGCGGAGGCCACAGCCAATCATAAATCAGAATTTGCCGCGTTCTCGGGGTAGCTACCAATCGCATCACAGGCTTCCCCAGCCCGCTACCGAGAGTGGCCAGTCAGCGCCGCAGATTGCTTCACAGCCCAGCAGCGGCCAATCCCAGTTCAGAGAGCGACAACATGGCTGCCAATCAGCTCCCGTGATCCCCTCTCAGCCCGCCCCGAGGTGAGAGGAGGGGGCGGGGGAGGGACCACTGGGCCAATCCAAGACCAGAGGATCTCAGTGTCTGGACTTGGATTAGCTGGCACGCTCATCTCTGCGTGTAGATCTAACTGCCGGCCCCTCTCCCGCCCACCCCCAGGCCGCGCAGTTCCCCGAATCTGTCCCGGACCCCAACGTACGGAGCAGATACTCCGCGCTGTCATGGTCGTAGTCAGTGTCCTCGGGGAAATGGTTGATCTTCACGCAGACGCCTCTTTTCAGCCCTGGAGGGGGACGGAGGTGGAGGTGGTGGTGTGGGGGGACTTAAGAGTTGGGGAACCCCCGGTGAGAGAAGACTCACCCCCTTCCCCCCCAATAGCTCTCTCTCTCTCTCTCTCTCTCTCTCTCTCTCTCTCTCTCTTTCTGACAAAAAGTCCTGGCTCCTGAGCCTTTCCCCACATCTGGGACAAACTGTCAACCTCCCTGGCCTCAGTTTCCTCATCAGTTAAAAAGAGAAAAACAGCCCTGGCTGGGGTGGCTCAGTTGGTTGAGCGCCGTCCTGTGCACGAAGAGGTTCCCCAGTTCGATTCCCGGTCAGGGCACATACCCGGGTTGTGGGCACATACAAGGGTTGCTGACTCATCCCCAGTAGGGGGCGTGCAGGAGGCAGCCATGGATGGCTTTTTAAAAATTCTCTCTCATCGATGTTTATTTCTCTCTCCCTCTCCCTTCCTCTCTCTCTAAAAAAATTAATTTAAAAAAAATGTTTTTTAAAGGAAAAGAGTCCAGCCGGTATGGCTCAGTGGTTGAGTGTGGACCCATGCACCAAGAAGTCACCGGTTCGGTTCTCAGTCAGCGCACATGCCCAAGTTGTGGGCCAAATCCCCAGTGGGGGGCATGCAGGAGGCCGGCAATCAATGTTCTCTCTCATTGATGTTTCTATCTCTCTCTCTCTCTCCCCTCCTCTCTCTCTAAAAATCAATAAAGAAAAAAAAATTCTTTTAAGGAAAAGAAAAAAAAAATCCAAAACTCACTAAAAGGACACAAGAACCTTTTCCCTGAAGCCCGGGCTAGGACAGCAAGCTCTCTGGCCTTCTGTTCCCCTCTCTATAAGAAGGCGTTGGTTTCAGCAATGTCAAGTCGCCCTTCCAACCCGAACGAGTCTGCAAATGCGTGGGAACACCAAGGAGGCTGCAGAGGGCGGGGAAGACTGCATTTCCCTTATGAAGTTTTGAGTTCAGTTGTGGGGAGAGCAGCCCTGGTGGTTGTAGTCTGTTCAATCCTTCCTATAAGGAGATTCCCAGCGTCTTACCTGGAATCTGCTGGAAGGGGATGGAGTGATGGGAGCAAACAGAGGCACGTGAAGGGTATGCCTCTAGAGGTCTTTCCGCCTTATCTCCTTCGTCCACCCCAGAATCCTATCCTCAGGTCCTGAACCTCACTCCCTTTGAGAACCTATCATCTCATGTTTGAGAACAGTTCCCATGCTAACACATAGCTGGAGACTGATATATATATAAACATAGATATACATTTTGTTTCCTTGATTCTTCAAACTCCTTCTGAACTCCAGGCTGGGAAACAGTCCATTCACATTTTCCAATGATGAAAATTTACTCTACCAGTGGGCAGCTCACGGGCGCCTCCTTGAGGAAGCGGTTCCTGGGCTCGCGCATGCGCACATGCATTCACTCCTCCCACTAAGTTGGGTCGGGTTCCCCATCTCAGCTGCAGCGGCTCCCTGTACAGTACTACCCGCTTTCTGCCATGCATTGGGTTGATTGATAAACTGAGAGTTTCTGCAGGGGTTGGTGGGCGGGGAGCACTCATGGGGTCTGATTACTCTGTGTGTCCCTAGCATTGCCTGGCACAACGGAGGCCTAAAGAATAGGTGTGGAATGAATGAATGAATGAATGAATGCATGCATGCTAGCAGAAGGCGAGATCCGAGGCAAAAGGTAACAGGAAAAGGAATGAGGATAAAGACAAGGATTTCGGGCCCAGCCGGTGTGGTCAGTGGTTGAGCATCAACCTGCACACGAAGAGGTCGCTGGTTCCATTCCTGGTCAGGACAAATGCCAAGGTTGTGGGCCAAATCCCCAGTGAGGGGCATGCAGGAGGCGGCCAATGGATGTTCTCTCTAACCGATGCTTCTATCTCTCTCTCCCTCTCCCTTTCTCTCTCTAAAATCAATAAAGGGGGGAAAAATTTTAAGACAAGGATTGGGAAGAAGAAATATAAGTCAGTGAGTAATTCTGCTAAAAGCTAACTTTGGTAAGTGGTAGATGAACTCATCCGGAGCTCCCCAGAGTCCCATGAAATAGGTAATGTTATTGGTGTCGTGCAGTGGCCAGACATTGAGAATCAGAGTCCTACTCCTTGATAATGAAGCCCGGCTCCATCATGTCCTTATTCGGTGACCTTGTTGGCGTTACTTTAGGTCAATGTGCTTCAGTTCCTTCAGCTACTAAAGGGGGATAATAAGACCTACCTCGTGGGGTTGTTGTGAGGATTGATTGAATTCAGGTAGAGAGTTAGCACTTTGCCTGGATCACAATTAAGTGCTCAGTCATTATCACTGGATCTGCCCATTGTGCGGATGAGGAAACAGAGGCACAAAAAAGGTTCATCAATTCACAGCTGATGGGTGGTGGAAGCAGATTCAAGCACACAGCGTTTGCCCTACTGGAATGTAAGCTGTTCACCACTGTATCCCTAGCACCTAGAACAATGCCTAGCACATAGCAAGTGCTTGATAAATATTTTTATGAAAGAATGATTGAATGGGCCAAAAAGCACGTGAAAATGTACTCGACCTCACTAATCATTAGGAAAATGCGGATCAAAACCACAATGTGATACCACTTCATACCCATTAGGATGGCTACTAGAAAGGCGGAGGGGGCAGAAAATAACAGAGTTAGCAAGGATGTGGAGAAATTGGGAGCTTTGTGCACTGTTGGTGGGAATGTAATATGGTGGAGTTGCTAAAGAAAATAGTAAGAGGTTTTATCCCCAAAATTAAAAACAATTACTGTATGATCTAGCAACTCTACGTTTGGGTATACACTCAAAATGATTGGAAGCAGGGTCTCTACGAAACATCGGTCCACCCATTTCCATAGCAACATTATTCACAATAGCCAGAAGCAACCTGAATGCCCATCAATGGATGAATGGATAAAATGTGGTATATACAGTCAATGGAATATTATTCAGCTGTTTAAAAAAAGGGGAGGGGGAATGCCCTGGCCAGTTTGGCTCAGCGGTTAGAGCATCGGCCCACGGACCAGAGTCCCGGGTTTGGTTTCCACTAAGGGTATGTATCTCGGTTGCAGTTGTCCCCGGCCCCGGTTGGGGTCATGTGGGTGGCAGCCAGTCGATGTATCTCTCTCACATCAATATTTCTCTCTCTCTCTCTTCCCCACTCTCTCCCTCCTGCTCTATCTGAAGGTAAATGCAAAAATGTCCTCAGGTAAGGATATAAAAAAAAGCAGGGGATGGAATCTGACATGCTAGAACCTGGATGAACCTTGAGAATATTGTGTGAAGTAAAATACACCAAACACAGAAAGACAAATACTGTATGAGTCCACTTCTATGAGGTACCTAGAGGAGACAAATTCAGAGAGATGGAGGCGGGGGGAGAGCGAATGGGGAGTAGCTGTTTAATGAGGACAGAGTTTCCATTTTACAAGATGAAGAGCTCTGGAGATGGATGTTGGTGACGGTCGCACAACAATGTGAATGTACTTAACACCACTAAACGGTGCACTTAAGATGGTTAAAATGATCGGTTGTATGTTATATGTATTTTACAATTCTCAAACGATGATCGGATAAATGAATAAATATATACACCCTCAAGAGAAAACTCCTACCCATCAGCACATTCATTACGGTGTGGTAGATAAGCTTGGGGGTTCAAGTCCTCTCCTTTCCTGAGTGGGATCACAGACCTTCTCTCACAACATTGATGGCAATTGAATGACACTGAACACGGGAAGCACAAGGCACACGGACTCTTTCAGCAGAACAGCGGTGAGAGCAGTATGACAACTAGCATTTCTGAGGGCCAACCACACACCAGCACTGCTCCAAGCCGTTGACAGGTAGTAACGCACTCCATGCTTATGATGGACCCTAGGAGCACGAAGCAATAACGGTCCCCTGCTCTGCAGATGAGGAAGCTGAGGCACGGAGTTGAAGACGCCGCCGAGTCCCATGTGGATGGTGAGTCTTGAGAGGAGATTCAGGAGCAACTGGGCTTCACAAGCCAGCATATTGCCCTGGCTGGTGTGGCTCAGTTGGTTGGGTGTCATCCGGTGCACGGAAGAGCATATGCCCAGGTTGGGGGCTCGATCCCCAGTAAGGGACATGCAGGAGGCAGCCAACTGATGTTATGCTCTCACATCAATGTTTCTCTTTCTCTTCCTTTCCCTTCCTCTCTCTCTAAAAATCAAATATATACTTTTTAGCCCTGGCCAGTTTGGCTCAGTGGTTAGAGCATCAGCCTGTGGACCAAAGAGACGCAGGTTGGATTCCAGCCAAGGGCACGTACCTCGGTTGCAGTTTATCCCCGGCCCTGGTCGGGGTTGTGCGGGAGGCAGCTAATCAATGTGTCTCTCTTGTATCAATGTCCCCCTCCCCCTCCACTCTATCTAAAGATAAAAGGAAAAAATATCTTCGGATAAGGATTTAAAATATATTTTTATATTTTATTAAATATATTTAATATATAGCCAGCACATTGAGGGCAGTGGAACACAGTGGCTTGAGTGACTAGGAGCTGCCTCAGCTTCCTCATTTCAGAAATGAGAATGATAATACGACCTCAGAGAGTTGGATAAGAATTCAATGAAACACACAGTCAAGCACAGGACACATGGGGGTCAAGGGGGCGCTATGTGTGCTATATGACCTGACTGGGCAGGGAGCGTGTCCTGTGCGGTGATGGCGAGGGTGTGTCCCCGAGTCTTCCCCAGGACCGGCCTAGGTTGGGATGAAGGGGGAGCAGGCGAGGTGAGGACGTGTGGAGAAGTGGGTTTCAGCCAGCTCTGCCCCTGCCACGTCCGGTGGCCATGTGGCTGACTCACTTCCCCTTTCTGGCCATCCGCTTGCAGCCCTGACCAACACAGGCGGTAACGGCACCTTCCCCTGATGCAGCTGGGAGGACTCGGTGAGATTATAAGGCGTGTGAAGAGCTGAACACAGGGGCTTTGTGCTCAGAAGAAATGTCTATGGGTCCAGGTCATTGTGTCCTAGCAGAGGACCTGCAACTGCA